GCGCTGCCGCCTCTGCTTCTCTGCTGTTGATCGACATTCTGCCGTTACTTCTCCTCTGCCGCTATTCTTCGGTTGCGTTGCTTTGCTATTTCTTCGCTTCAGCACACACTCTCTCTGTCTCTGTCTCTCTCTCTCTCGAGATTCCCTCTTTATGTTACCCACGGTTTATCGTTGTTGAAGCTATACTCATAATGCACTCCTTTCCCCCTCGCCTCCCCTCCCCTCCCCCATCGCTGACCCACTGCCACGGCAGTGTTATGCTTTATTGCATTTAAATATGTTTTCGTACTTTACGCACTTTGCCAGCCGATGCGATGCGATGCGATGTTTGCTTTGTTTTGCGATTTTTCGCTGCTTCTCCTTTGTCTTTTTGAGTGTGCGTTTTTATGACTGCCGGAATGGTTTGTTTATAATAATTTTACGTTTGTGTCGCTCTCGGCAGCCCTCGCAATTACTTAGTTATGTAAAGTAACTCATTTTTCGGTGCCTGCGGAGAGTGGCCTGCTGATGGGTTGTTTCCCCACCGCCCGAGATGGGGTGCAAACTTGATGGGTTCTTGGGGGGCTGCTACGCTGCTCCATCTGAGGCCCCCTGTGCTGGCTTGGCTCTTAAATTATTCACTGGGCGCGTGAAAGTATTTTACATACGCTTTCACTTTACTCTCGCTCTCGCTCACCCTCTCTCTCTCTCTCTCTCTCTCTGTCTTCTTTACGCTCTCTTGACGCTGTCGCTGCTGTCTTTGGCCGTGCTGCTTGGCTGTGCTTAAGTGTTGAGTGCACATCGCTTGATGTCACACCGAAAAGTCATTCAATATTTATGTCCCGTATATTACGCATATGCCAGTAGCAGAGCCAGCAGCAGAGGCCAGCGCCAGTACCAGCGCTCACCCATAGTTTCCGCTGGCTTTTTTCTGGCTCCCCCTATTTACGGCATAGTGCAAATATGTGTAGCATTAGGCAGGGATTACCCTGAAAAACAAAAACTGTTTGGGAACTTAATTGAAAGTGTCCAGCGCTTCGTGTTGCGCACCCGTCTCTGGGGCACATTTAACACTTGCCAAAAGCTCCAAAGTCGGCAACACAATTTGTACATTTGCTGATGCAATAAATATTTGAATTTATTACTCAATTATGGCCAGAGCTGGGCCCCCATTGGTGGGGGTGGGGGAGGAACTTTTGCCACTTTCGAAAAACAATTTTATAGGCAATTTGCTTCAATTAAACGATTTAATTTATTTTATTAATTTGTTCCAGCAGCACACCAAAGAAGCTGAGCAGAAACTTTTGCTCAATGCAAACCGAATGGCTGCAAATGCGCCAAAGCCACCAAGGACTACCCATCATTGCTGTGCAGGGGGAGAAGGAGAAGGAGAAGGAAGGGAAGAAGGAGTACCAGGTGGTGGCAGGGCAGTAGTGTTTGAGGGAGTGGCACCGGCACTCCGAATATTGCAATGCTCTAACCAAGGACTAACATCAGTGTTCCATCTCGCTAGCCAAAGTTTTCTCCTGCCAATCCATCATTCGTGCCACTCCGTTGCTGAACCACAGGGTATGCACTGCTTCGGTACGCAGACTATTGATTGTCTGCCTAGTTTTCCTTTTGTTTGGGGCATTGTTTTGGCTGAAATGGCATCCCACTCCCGTTGGGCTTTGGGCTTTGGGCTGTGGCGCCCCATTGCTCCAACTGCGACCACGGCTTGCGTTGATTGTAATTTTATTGGCCGCACAATGTGAGAGAGGGAGAGAGGGAGAGAGAGAGCACATCCCCCGGCGTGCCAAAAACCAAAATTGTGCTTACTGCTTACTGCTGATTTTGCGGTTGAAATCTCGTTTCGCCCCCCGCCCAAAATGTTTGCAATTAATGTCTACACAAAAAGTTGCGTTAAATACAATTTCCCGATGGCCGAAAACAATAATTTGAGGCAATAAAAAAAAGCGCACAAGAAACTGAAATCGAGGCAAGGAAAGTTTTTGCGTGGAACTTTTTCTCGACGCTCTCGACGTTGCCATGCCACTTGCTGGCAACAATAAAATCCATACGAAATTTTCAACTTAATAAGCCATGTTTGTGTGGCAAAGTCAATCAATCATAAGCTGGGCTGGAAGTGCCACAGAGCCACATAGCCACAGCCTCAATCCAAGGGACGAGGGCAGAAGTCAAGACCCGAAGGTGGCGTACATTATGTTTGGCAGCGTGTCATCAAGTTATTAGCCAGAGCAAGCAGAACTGAATGACTGGATGACTGTCATGGCTGGCCTTGCGGCAACTCATTTAAATATGCAAATGAAGGGGCAAGTAATTAAATAAATTAAATGTTTTCGAGCCACAAAACTCATCACCGCCCAGGCCCAAACAGCATTCCCGTTCCCGTTCCCGTTCCCGGTTCCCGCTTCCACATCTCCACTTCGTGTCATGTGCTAATTTTTGCATGTTGATTTAAATTAACATAAATAAACGAACGAGCAAATGAATGCCTGAGTGAGTGGGTGGCTGCCTGCCTCTGCGTTGCGGCTGTAGGATGAGCTTTTGGAGGTGTGTCCACACCGGACATATGCATATTTGAGCAGACACACAGACACACAAAGAGGACATGGCACAGGCACGGGCACGGCCATAACCATAACATGCCTGCATAATAAACAACAAATAATAATAATAATTGCAATTACACTCGGCACAACAACAACAACAACAACAACAACAACAACAAGTGGGTTGTCCAGGTCCGGCCTTCAATGTTCTGTTTTGTTTGCACTGCGCCCCCATTAATCATGCTAATCGCCCAGCAATGCGCACTCCCGACCCACACACACACACAGTTGGTTGAAGGCTTAGGCTGAGAGACTCAGGGATTCCCACAATCAAAGCGCATCAGGGCTTTCAGTCCTGGCCCCGATTGTTGCGTGTATTTTGGTGAATGTTTCATGGAGTATTTCCATACCTTCAGTTACGCAGCGAACTTCGTTTGGTGACCCCGACGAAATATCATAATTGCCATTCAATTGTGTATTTGACCAATACTTTGCTCCATGTTTGGCCACAAATGTTTTACACACTCAAATCACTCAAATCGAACAGCATAAATGGCTCTGCTGCTTTTAATTGTATCTGATTTGGGGTGACCCCGATTCGTGTGTGTGTGTGTGTGTGTGTTGGTGACCCCCAAATGGCAGGCATAATTGCTAAGTGCGACCATTGTTTGCATTGCTTTGTGAGGCAGATTTCTTGTTTGCCTGCCGAGCAAGATGGCATTAATTTGTCTCGAAACACTCGGCTGACATCATCTGGTGGCGGCCGCAATAACAGCTAAACGAAGCTGTCAGTAAGTGTTCCCCTGCCTAATTGCCATTTAAGCAGGCTGGCATTTTCTCTGTGGCTGTCTGCACTCGCTGTTCGATTAGGGAATGCGATAAGCAGTCGGCAGGTCGAGCAGGTCGAGGACATCCACAGCCATGGCTGTGGCAATGCCACAAGCAGATTTATGAGTCGACATCGCTCCCACTAAGCAGATTAAATGCGATTTGGCGCACAGGCAAGTTGCCAGGGTAACCCTGGATCAGCCGCAATGATAAAAATAGGCAAATCTGCCAGAGGACTGCCCTGACTACGTACCGCCACCACAGCCCACCCACCAAATCCAAGCTCCACAACATCCACCCACCCCCAATCTCTTCGGCACAGCCAGGTAACGGTAACTGCCTGCTCCAGCTACCCGCTCCATCGTCTGTCGATTCTTTGTGGGCTGTGGGCTGTGGGCTGTTCGCTGTGGGCTGTTCGCTGTGGGCACACAAATGTCTGGCTAAAACTTGCGCCTGACATGCGAACAAACAAGTGCCATAAATAAATTTAAATTGCGCCAAAAATCGCACGCTATTATTATTATTTATTATGTAAGCAATTTGCTTGTGTGTGTGTGTGTGTGTGTGTGTGGGGGTACAGCAAAAGTTTATTAGAACTTTGTCATAAAGTCAAAGTTCGACAAATTTAAGTCAACATTTTCAGGCATTTATTTTGCGCAAAAAGCACCGAAAGTACACACAAATTCAATGGGTTAAAGCAGTCTGGAAATAATTTTTGCCTCTCGCTGGGATATCGGGTAAAATTTATGCCGCCGCAAACATGGCAGGCAATTTTGAAAGGAAAATGCAAAATATTTACAAACTTCTTGGAATAATTTGTGTGTTTTTTGTTAAGTTTGTCCTGAGCTGTGGTTGGCATTGTGTATGTGAGGGGAAAAATCACATTAAAGGGGTTTAAGCGCTTGCCATTGATTGGGAAAACTTTGGGTTAAAGTTGTGCATGGGGAGAAGAGCATAAAGAGAAAAACAGAATATGCAGAGCGACCAGCGTAGTATCCAAATGGCAGGCAAAAAGCTCATGCAGCAGTCATCAGGTAGATGGCCGACTAGGTACCGTACGCTAGAGCACGATCACGGCTGGTAAATCGCAAAACGATGACATGTACCGGCATGCAAGAAAGCTCAGTCAGGGCAAATCGCGAAAGCGAGAGGCAAGCTTTTCAGCTATGGCTCTCCCATTCTGCCCGCAGTCAGATCCTCAGCCTCACCGACATGAAAGCTCCACCTGCAGCCGTGCCATCTCCTTCTAGCGCGTGTCTCTCTGAGAGCGAGTTGGAAAGGTGGATGGGATCATGGAAGTAAAACAAGTGTCACACACACAGAGAGTGAGAGTTTCGAAGTCACAGTTATTGTTGTTGAATTTTATTTCCATTCGATCATATGTATACATGCATGGATGCATCACTGTATTCGTACCATTTATAGACAATCAAAATAAGTGTTTGTTTAAACATTCAGTAAACGTATGTACTACATGTAGATATATGTATATGTGGGCTGCTGTTGTTCTTGTTGTATATAATATTTAAATTGTTTTTGCATGATTTGATTGAAGTATCATTATCATTATTATATGGTACATATACATATATATATATAGAATATAAAAGTTATTTAGCTTGATAGCTCTGTTTTTTTGTGTGGTTTCCATATCTGTTCAGAACTGAGCGACCAACGGAAATAAAGTAAATGAGAGTTACGTAAATGCATTAGTATGCACACGAGTACATGCTCGTATACCGTCAGTATTTCGATATACCAAAACCAAAAGGGGAACACTCTGCTTCGCCCTTGAGAGTTGAGTGGCGTCCAGGAACCAATTTACATGCACACATATTAACTACATACATACATGTATGTAAGCATGTATGCTACGTATGTATGGCGTTTTGTGCGCTGATTGTTTGATTGGATTTTTTGTTATTACTTATGGATAGTATCTCTATGTCTTAGCTATTTGGAGTTTGAGCCCAACTTTGGTGTTTGCAGTTTGTTTTTTTTTTGCTCATTTGTTTGTTTTTCGATATGTTTTTCTTTTGTACAAAAGAAAACGCTTTCAAGTGAATAGCTCTAGTTATGTATGTATATAATTTCGATATCTGCTTGATTAACTATGCATTATGTATATATTTTTGGTGTAGATTTGGTGTTTGTTTTATTTTTGTATTTAGAGTTTATTTGGTGTTTTGTTGTTGCTTTCCTTTCCTTTCCTACCACCTCTCTCATTCACCCTCCTGCTTTCCGGCTGGCACAGCGAGTAAAAATATGAATAATAATAAATAATAAATAATTGTGTGTTCAATTGGATGTTTTGCTAACCGGCAACAAATAAATAATAAATATTTAATAGTCAAATTCGTTTAGATTTTTCCTTCATATTTTGGCAACTCAAAAGCTCAAGACTCTCTCTCTCTTTCTCTATCGCTATCTCTGTCGCTTTCACATACGCAAATCACTAGCTATCTCGCTTACACAATTCGAGAACTTCGGTATTTTCGGTATCCCTATAATACAATATACATTCATAAGTTCTACAAATAGCTAAGTTACAGTTTATCATTTATATATATATATATATCTGCCAGACTGCAGCCTGCAGCCTGCCGCCTGCATCAAAAAAATTATAAATTTATCGTCAGTTTTCTCTATCGTTTCTGGCATAGGCACAATGACTGACGGTCTTGCGACGAAAAAGGTTACTTACGAACCCAGTTAATATTCATTTGAAATATTTAAAACGAACAGGAAATGGCAACATAGTCTGCGTTTAGTTATCCATACATGTATGTGTACGTAGATATATGTATATGCATCATATATGTGTATATAGCTCTTGCTCTGAGATCGCTCTGGGCATAGACTCCGCCAGGCTCCGACCCTCTTACCACACCTCGCACTTGCTGCTGGGATTCATGCGCTTGCCCGGCTTACACTGAAAGACCTCGGCGAACTCCTTCATGTTGGACAGCGTGCCAATGACTCGGAACTGTGACGGCGAATGCGGATCCTTTTCCATTTGCAGCAGATTCGTTTCCTCTGTGGTGCTGGAGCACCACACCTAAGCGAAAGACAATAATCTCCAGTTAAAAAATCCATTATCATCGCATTATCTGCCATGCATTCTTCATTCTTCATTCTTCACCTGTGCAAAGGACACAAAAAAGAGCTGCGAATGTGTCAGATTGAGGCCGGGCAGCTTCAGGATGTCCGCCTCCTTTTCGCTCTTGGTGTGCTGGTAGGCGTGGTAGGCTGCCTTGAGGCCACCATTGTCGGCAATGTTCTCACCTAGCGGGGTAGGAATAGAAGAGGCTGTTAGAACTGAACTCCTGCTGCACTCTGCATGACTCAACCACTCACCCAGCGTCTGTTTGCCATTGAGATTCCTTCCGTTCATCTTGTAGCTGCTGTACTGGCGTGCAATGCACTCGGATTTCTCGGTGAATCGCTCAATGCTCTTGGCATCCCACCAGCGATTGATGTTGCCAAACTTGTCGTACTCCCTGCCCTGATCGTCGAACGCGTGCGTCAGCTCGTGGCCCATCACGACGCCCATGGCGCCGAAATTGAGGCTCTTCGGGTTGTTAATGTCGAAGAAGGGCGTCTGCAGTATGCCGGCGGGAAAGACAATCTGATTCTTGGTGGGCGTATAGTAGGCGTTCACCGTCTGCGGTGTCATGCCCCAGTTGGTTTTGTTCACCGGCTGATCGAGCCGCTTCAGGTTACTCCTCAGATTGTAGATGGCCACCTGCAGATTGTTCTCGAAATACGCATTCGCGGTGATGTTCAAGTCCGCGTACTTTCTGTCCAGATCGGCCGGATCGAGGATGTAGTCGGGGAAGCCAATCATATCGGAGATCTGGTCGGCCTTCTCGATGGCCTTCTCCCGTGTCTGCTTGTCCACCCACGTGAGATTCTGCATATTGTGCTTGAAGGCCTCCCGTATCTCGACAATCATCTGCTCCGCCGCCGGCTTGGACTCCCCATGAAATGCCTGACGCACGAATATCGCACCCACGGCAAAGCCCACGACATTATTGGTGTCCGAGACGCAGTAGCGCCAGATCTCCTCCCCGCCATCGGAGCCCATCAGGGCCTTGCGCACACCCTTGTAGGCATCCCGGAAGGGCTTCGAGAGGCAGCTGGTCAGTGTGCGCACCGCCTGCCAGATCAGATAGTTGTTCAAAGTGCTGCAAAAACAAAAATCCAATCGGGATTGGCATCAGAGCCAAAGGTTGTGCCCTGCCTGCCCATCACTCACATCTTTCCCTCATCGGTCTGCTGCATTTTCAGGATTATATCGGAGAGATTCTTGAGGAATTCGGGCGCATAGACAACGACCACCTCGTCGTCGGTGACGCGCCGATTGACCATCTGCAGCGCATTGTCGAAATGGTCCGTCCAGTTGAGGAAGGGCGCCAGCTTGGCCAGCTTGCGCAGCTTCATGGGATGGTACATGGCCTCCTCGTTGCGACGATCCTCCAGCGGTATGGTGATGTTCGCCAGCTTCTTCTCGAAGTTAATGATGCCCAGCATCTGGACACGGGCATCGGTCTCGTTGGCGCCCAGCAGGACGCACACCTTGGTCATGTACTCGATATACTCGTTGAGCACTTTGCGATGGTTGTCCGTCTTGTTGTTGTAGTAGTCCGCTGTGGGCAGGGTGAGGCCTCCCTGATCGATTTGGATGACGTGACGCGACGAGTTCTTGTCATCCTCCCCGATCGCCCAGCCAAACAGGCAATTAAAGTTGTATCTAAAAGGGAGTCGTTATGGAGTGTTGTGTGGGATTATCCCAATGGCTGTACCCACTTGTTGTGCAATATTTTGAGTGTGTTGCCCATGGTCCAGTTGGAGACATTGTAGCCGCTGCTGGTCACATTCCAGCCACCGATCTGTCGCAGCAAATCGTTCATGGGCTTCGCTCCGAGCTTCTCCATATGCTCGTCGGCATCCAGGCAGGACTCGTAGTACACTTTGGCCTTCTTCTCGGCCTCCGACTTGAAGCTGGCTGCGGGCTTCTCCAGCACATTGCGTATGATCAGCTGATTCATTTGCTCCAGCTTGCCAAATGTGCCCCATGTGGATTTACCCTCGGGAATTGGATTGTTCTTGATCCATTGGTTGCTGCAAAATGCTCAATCAGTGACTGAAAGGTCAATCAGTCCAAAAGGTGTCGACTCGACTCTTACCATGCATATCCGTAAAAGTCGTCGCATGGATCGACTGTTACATCGATTGACTTGAGGATCTCGCTCGACGCAAATATACAGTGCTTGTTCAGGCACGGCAGCTCGCTGCCCGATGGGCAATCTGTCAATGAAAGCTTATCATCAGATCTCCATGATATAGGGGTGGATTTTTGTGGGTTACCCTTCTTGTGCGGCTGCACGTGTAGTATGTGCTTCGTCTTGTCGCCGTTGCTGTCCGCAAAGAGTATGATCAGCAGCGTAAAGATTGTCATCGTCATCGCAAATGTTGCGATGAGCAGCCATTTTTCGGTCTTGCTCCTTGAGCGCCAGTTCCAAGTAGCCTGCGAAATGGCAATGCCAATGTCATTATTCAGTTTATCTGTCGGCTCGACTGCGCATGGAATCTGTTGTGTAAACAGCAGCAGCAGCAGCAGCAGCAGCCAGCAGCCAGCAGCCAGCAGCCAGCAGTTCAAATGAGTTCAAACTTGTGTATCCAACAGAAGAAATCTCGTGTACTTAAGCCACTTGCGTCTACATTTGCCCGGCAGCACGTCGGCATTGGGGGAAAGAAATGAAAGTCACAGCACAACGACTGCCCAAATACGCTCACAAACAGAATGGAAAATTAATTGAACATATTCTCATTATGCCAGCCAGCCTCAAGCTTTGTGTATTTATAGCAGAGAGAGCCGGCCGAGTCGTGCTTATGCTTATCTTGATTGCATAGAAAAAGATCTCGGGCAGCGCAGTCGGCGCACGCAGCGCAGTTAAAACTTCGTGTGGCTGCGGCCAATGCAATGTAACAACTTCGTGTGTGTGTGTATGTCGCCTATGCGTCGCAGCGGCAGAGAAGCAAGAAACGTTTTCGGACTTTTGTGTCTTCGTTGGTCTTCGATGGCAAGCGCTTTAGCTAAGCCATAAAACGCTGACCATATGTTAGGGCAAACCTAGAAGTCCGACATACACACACACAGACACACAGGCAGACGGACAGTGGCACAGTGGGGATGGCGAGCGATTTTTCACTGTCAAATGGTAACCTTCAAATGAATGAGAAAAGCGCTCAGCGCTCACGTTGGCCTCATTTGCTTACAGTTTTTTTGTTCTGTTTAGGTCATTGTCATAAAGTAACAGATAAACCGACTTAGTGTCTGGGTGGGGATGAGGGAGTGTGAATTAGGGGGGGTAAGAGAAAGAGAAGGAGAAAGAGAAAGAGAAAGAAAGAGAGAGGGCAACACTCACCCGCGCTGTGTGATAGCGTATTTGCATGCCAGTGTGGCCTGTGCCTTCGTTCAGTTGAATGCCGCCAATTGAACTTGAATCATCTTCTGTAAATTCTGTCTGTTTATAGCGTGTCATCTGGAATGAGAACACACTTTGCATTATACTTGGTAATTTAGGCAAATTCAAATATATTTATACTACTGTATGTACATATGCCTGAGAGATCTGGAGACGGACAACCACCCATATGTTAGGGATAGGTTGCCGAAACTTTGCTTTCTTTTGTTTTCTTTTGTTTTGTTTTGTTTTGTTTCCACCATCGACCTAAGCAATATGTATCTGTGTGTACATAAGAATTCATAAACATTTTAGTGCGGAGCTTTTTTCGCTCTGCTTTATTCTGCTCACTCTCTCTCTCTCTCTCATCCCCTCGTAGATGCTTTGCTCTGTGCTGCCCGATATTCATTCATTCTTTTGTGAATTTTTCACTGCTTAACCCAACAGATCATTGAAGATCAATGCGGGATCAAATATCTCCAAAAATATTGCTTACAAGATTCTTCAAGTGTGTTCCCTAGTTTTCCCTCAAAAGGGTTTAATTTTTGTTTCCCTACTCTAACGATCCACCTACAACTCCTTTCAATTTCTATTTAACTACCCACTGGCACTTATGGGGTAAAAGAGGGCACGTCACGACCTACCGTTCGGCAATCGGTAAGCCACATTTTCAATTAGCCAACAAACTCAAACAGTCTCTGTGTGTCTTTGTGTCTCTGTTGTCTCTGTGTGTTTGTATTTGCTTTTGGCTGAATGTCGTTTTATTTTGGGTGTATCGTATCGTATCGTATCGCTTCGATGGGATAATGATAACAGAGCGCGGCGACGATAGTCTGTGTTCGTGTTCAGCCCATGACCGTTGGATGTGCACTGAAAGCGCCGGCGGGTGGCTAGCGAGCTGCCCGCACAGGAACGGAACGGAACGGAACCACACCGCACCGCAGCGCCCGCACCTCGCTGGTTCGGCGCACTCGAAAGGCCCTGCCCGGGCAGGCCCCTTGCCGGGCCAAACCCCCACAACGCCGCCAGCCTAGCCACGGGCCCACCCCGCCTCGTCCATACACTCGCAACCATACATATATATGTTCAATAGTTTTGCATTCTATACAAATTAATTGACTCGTTTGTGGCTGTATGTGTGTCTCCGGCTCCGGCCCGGTCTGGTTCTGTTTGCGCGCATTAAAACCGGAGATGGGGCCACGGAGACCCACAAATTCTCAATAATAATGCAAGGAAAAGTAGGAGAAACGTTAACAGCTAGCTTTAAGATAATTAATTTATTTTACAATTCAATGGAAATCAGCTCAAAGGAACTTGTTTACTCTTTGAACAAACAGCGGCAACAGCTCCTTGGATCCCTTGTTATGTCGAATATGTGAAAATATTTATTCAATTCCCCAACGCAACGAATGTTTTCATTATAAATTATTATTTATGGCGCTTTGTTGTTGTTGTTGTTCTCGCAATTGTTTATTTGCACACATCAATTGTTTCTCTTTGGCATTTAAGAATTTCGCAGCAATTTATCCAAATGCGAAGGCCCGATATCGTGTGATAATAAAACCCGATTTGTTGTGCTGGACATTTTTATCGCGATCGTCCAGCAGGCAGTTAGCTATTGTCTGCGATAACTACAAAACACATTTATAACTGTATGAAGCACTCACACGAAGGCAGATTAAGGACTGCGAATGATGTAAGCAAAGAGTGAGCGAGGTACGGTGATGCCTCGAGAGTAATGAGCGAAGTTGTTTGGGTTTCGGTTGGAGTTGTTTGGAGTTATTTGGAGCTGTACCTTGAAACAGAGTCTATGTGCGTAATTTTTGTTATTTCATCTATGACAGCAGGAGCTGCTATGAGCTGTGCTCTATTAATTAATTAGAGGCACATAATTGATTATATTTTGGCATTCCAGCTGGAGGCCAGCACTGCCAGTGGCCACTGTATTGGCTTACAATATGCGGGGCAGGGCATTGAATTTATTACCATCAGCGTCAACGCCAACGCCAGCAGCGGCCAGCGGGTGGACAGGCGTGGACAGCGGACGGACCGGGGGGACGTACAGCACAGCACAGGACAGAACAGGGGGAGGACGACGAGTCGTCGTGGTGCTTCGTGGCTAAAGTGAAACTGTTGCGCAGTTTATTACTCGTATTTTTGTTTTTTGTTGTGCCCTTTGTTTTACACGCCACCTCCACCTCCACCTAAAGCTCCAGCTTCGCGCCGTGGCTTTGGCTTTGGCCGTAGCGTTTCAAACGAAACGTAAACACACACACACATGCACATGCATACACATTCATGCAGTAACAGACATTTAGCGGATTGTTGAATGCAAACAGACATTAAAGGGCAAATGCCAAACGAGGACTGCGCTTCGCCAGGCACTCCATAAGCTAAAAATCAAATCTGCAAGCAAGATTTTGATTTACTTTTTGTCTCTTCATAATAATGACAGAGAATTTGTGGAAACATGCAGTGACGTTTTTTTTTTGCTTAAAAGGTTTATGTTAAACGATCCCTAGACAAGGGCCAATTCGCTCTGATGCAAATTTCAACACAGACAGGGGAGCCTCCAATTCGCTTCACTGCGAATTCGCTCACACCAGAACGCAAAGCCAAAACGAGCGAGGGCGAATTCGCTTGCAGCAGACAGCAAAGCATGAACGATCCAAAGCGAATTCAGACGTGAGCAAAGAGCAGATCGGCGAGAGAGAGAGACGCGGAGAGAGATTCAATCTCAGCTTCTGCCTTCTGCTTTCCTAGCAGCTCTCCTGGCAGCTCTCTGAATGACTATTTTATGGGTCCTCTTCCCAATTCCGATTGTTCGCAGTGTGGCATTAAATCAACATAAATAAATTCTGCCTTTAAGCAGAACCTAAGCGAGAAGTCATAAACCATCTTTGAGTGCGCTTCGCAAATGGGATTCGTTTGCTATTTTTAGCACTTAAATATGTCAAAGGGTGGGGGCTGGCTCTGGCTTTACATTGTGTTGCATGCAGCAGTTTTGTGAAGCCCCCCCCCCCAAAAACAGAGAGCTCGTCTCTCGGGTTGCCAGGCAACTTGTAAATTGTGAGGCCAGAGCACCCTTTATCACACAATCATTTCATTTCATTTGCTCCATCTCTGTCATCCATCTCAGTCTTCGCCTCTCTCTCTCTCTCTCTCTCTCTCTTTGTCACACTCTGTTTGACTTTTTCTCTGTGTGCGTCTGGGCACAGCATATGCTAGAAATCAGTCTTCGTTGCGGCTCTTAACTCGATTTATGCTGCAGTCCCTGCAATTTATGTATACCAATAAACCCGGGACCAGGCACCAGGCACCAGGCACCATAACCATAACAACCGTTACTCCTCCCCCCCAGAGTGGGTGGGTGTGCAGTCTCTGGTGGCGCCTCTAAAGCGGAGGCGTGGCTTTAGCACAGTTATTCAAGCAGCAAAAGGCAATTACAACATGCAATTGGAGTGCGTGCATTGAAATGTAAGGAACCTGCAGCATTGTTGATATCACACAGATACACACACACACGAACACGAACACACACATAAAAAAAAGGGCAACAAACATTTAGGGGGAAGAGGCGCGCGCTCTTGGCCTACCTTAGCGCTCATTTTCTTTGTGCGCCTGAAAGAGTGCAAGGAAATTTGTGTCCTGCCGCTCGGAGTGCCTGGTTTTCCTTTGGCTCCCTGCTGCTGGTGCTCCTACTGCTGCTCCTGGTCGTGCTGCAGCTCCAATTGCCAATTACTTGTCGCAGTTGTGCACCAAAAGTTTGCTTCACTCGTTACTGGCCCGTTTTGTGGATATTTTCTGCTGCATTTTTGTTGCTTTAGGCTGAAGCTGGAGAACGACGAGCCAACCAAGCAAGCAGCGAGCAAGCAAACAAACAACCGCAAACACGAAACCAGTCCGCTCGCAACGCTGCAACGGGTTAGAGTATCCAGAAGATGGCAAAGAATTGCCAGTCCAGGTGGCGCTCTCGCTTAGAAATTTTGCAAACCGAACTGTCGCTCGTCGCAATGTCAGACAGTGACCCGAGCGGGGCAGAGAGCCGTGCGAAAATACGTCAAAAGGGAAAAACAATAACACACAAACGTAGTAAAATCCCCAAATCACACACAAACAGAGAGTGAGAGAGAGAGAGAGAGAGAGTTAAACAAACCCTTAGCTGGCATATATAGCTAGGGGTTGTGCTGCCAGAGTTGCCCTCAGTTTCAGTCGCAGTGCCGGGCACAATGCGCAGAAGCTGTACGTCGAGCGGTGGCAGCACTGTTCCAGCACGGCGTTGCCACTTAATTAGCACAAAATACCGTTCGAAAATCGAAGAGCCACGAGCTCAAAATGGCCCCAAAATAAGCCAAAACCCCAGCCCAACTACAGCTAGCATCAATGGGAAATAAATACGAAAAGATACTCAGTTGCTCAGCTCCACAAGTTGTCCGATGTGGTGCGACCTACATACACACTCGTAGGCCCCTCGGGCTTACGTCACAGAGCAGCGGCGAGAAAGCAAATCATTTGCACTTGCCCCACAATTGTGTTGCGGGCGGACTTTTCCCTTTCTTTTTGCCTCGCAGCAACAACGCGAATGCATTGTTTGCTCTTCCGACTGCCGTTTAGCCACTGATCTTCCCTTGGAATGTGTGAAAT